ACTGCGGAAGGTCTGCCACATGTTCTTGACACACAATGTTTTTTTTTACCTTTGTTGTTGTTTTCATGTGTGTATGTATGTATATGTTTGTGTGTATGTATATCTTCGTGTGTGATGGAAAAATGTGTCAAAGAGTCCCAAATAATAATATTGAGGTCGCACAAGTCCAAAATCATGATTTCATGCAGCGCTGACCCATGGCGATAGAAGAAGGCAATCCTTGGCAGTAAAGGTGTTGTTACTAGAAAAACTATCTGAGATCACAGCGAACTGTGCTCTCGTGACACGATCTTTTCTCACCAAGTTTACCGCTACTGCAGCATTGATAACTTTTTTCCACGAGATAAAGCGAGCATCAAGTGATAAGGAGGTTACATTGTCCATCCTCGCGTAACACTGCCTTACTCAGCATGAAGTTTTTCCTTTGCTAGTTATCTTTGATGAAAATAGGCCCTCCACTGCAGCAAATATTATTGCTAAGGAAAAGGTCGTTTAAAATAACGACTTTATGAGTCTGCATTGTTGATCCTATGCATATCTATTTCTTCGGAGCTCTGGCAACTCTCCCTAGAATTACCAGCAGAACTTGTTTGATCAGCAAAAGCTTTTTGGAAGGTTTCCTTCGAGCTTTTCTTCGATTCTGCGAGTTTCCAGTCATAACTATGACTTCATCTCTGAATTCCAAATAAAATTCCCCCTAATCGTATTTTCAACCGCGACCTTCGGCATTGTTATCTGGTTCGAACAAGAGCGAATGTTGAGGATGAGCATTCGACGTCTACTCTTGGGGCATGGGTTTCAAGTAGATTGGATATGTAGGGCCAGTTGATGCTAGCGTGGTTCCAAAGGTCCGTCGTCTGACATTTCCCCTAATCGTATAACCGCGACCTTCGGCATTGTTATCTGGTTCGCACAAGAGCGAAGATCGTGTATGAGCATTCAACTCTTATCGTGATCTTGTCGTGAAATTAATTGCAGCAGAAGTGGAATTACCGCAGGACGCATTTAATTCCACGGAAAAGTCTCCAATTGACTGCATGCAGCACACCTTGGGAAGGTTAAAGGGGTAGCACCCCAAGAAGTTAATTTCATCTACTCCTAACATTCATGTGCCCTTCTTCGCTGTCGCGCGTCAGGCTAACGAAGGTGTAACACGCAATTGCTATGGTGTTTCGCGCACTACACAAATTATCACTCGTCTTTCGCGAGGCGTTGGGCTCTAATTGTAAGATTATGCCTTATCCGATAATGGAGAACAAGGAATGAATGCACTAAAACAGAGGTGAGGAAGCACGAAATTCCGTGAGGCTGCAGCGGCGCTGCGTATGGCTCTCCCCAGCCATGTGCTTCTCATGAAGCCGCTCTTCCCGCAACTCTCAATAAGCAGGAATTGTAGAATCTTGCACTCACGTGGCTAGGAGAAACCTTCTATCAATCTATGCTTAACCATCCCTTGTTTAACACAAGGCAACGAAAAAAGCCGTTTGAGAATTTTGTCCAATGAAACTTCATCTCGGAGTGTACCTCTCTTCTTCCAGTAAAAGCGTTCTGCATGCATCCAATACACGCCTCACTTCTTGGACAAGCTCACAAGGTCGGGCGAGGTACTCACACTTGTGATTAGGTTGTTTCATAACCACCCGTTCACGAAAAGTACTGTAGCTAGTGTCAGACTACTGTAATAACAGTCTTGATTGTTCTACATCTTCGTGTTTATTCGAATTCGCTATGTCGAAATAATCTAGTATTCTTGAACCTATTCGCAATCAATGAGTGTTTCCTTTTTTCAAAGCTTCCTCGTCGCTTTCTGCATCTCGAGCTATTCATTATCCGTTATTCACACTTGCGCTATTCCTTGCATCTCTCCCATTCGACTGTGCGTTGGCACATGTTCCGTGCCTGATGCCTCTGCACAAAGCTACACAGCAGTTGAGTGGCGAAGTCATCAATTTCATGAAAACCGTTGCCTGTACCAAACGCACGTATCCATAGCACGCCTTTCTTCGCTCCATCACATATCTGTTGTCACCGATCTAACTGCTTAGTATACAGTCAAGTAAGTATTTATTTTCCATTTAATGATAACTAAATTTCATACCATAAAATACTGCAACTGGTTAAGCGCGGAAGAGTCCAGAACTTCTAGGTAACCACTTAGTAGGCAGTCATAGTGATAGCAGCTGCTAAGCGAAAGAGAGGGCGGGCAAGATGGAATACCTTAAAAGCACGTTTGAGCGCGCGACAAGTTTACAGTTTGTGTGATGTCGGTCACCGCGCTCGTGTGAACTGGGCGCGGTGATCGATATTCTGGAAAGTGTTGCGACAGCTTTGCTGCGTTGACGCTAGGGAGGAGCGCGACTGACGGGGAGTCGGTATTTGTGTCCAATTGTAATTACTTCGCACCTTCCTCGTCCATCCACCACTCGCCTGAGGAGTGACCTCCCTTGATTGGTTGGCTGGTGACCTTTCTGGCAGTCTCAGTGTACTGACATTGATTTTCTGAATTGAAGTGTTTATTATTGTGTTATTATTAATGTAGTATAGTATTTATTATTAATATTATTATTACACATTTTAAAATAGTTTTTGCCCATGTAATTTTGGTAGAACGACAGAAAACGTGTCGTGCCTGGAATCCGGTATATTAGTACGACATGCTTCCCACTTTTGCTTACCTGCCTTTCGCCAACATGTGTTGGCACTTGGGTGTGCCCCGGATTCATAGTAGCCGTAGCTGCCCCTGGGGTCTTGGAAAACGTAAGTTTTTGGTTCACAGAGCTCACAGTGCTTGCGGGTGCTGAATGTAAATAAAAGGAATACGGAGCTACAGCACTCGAGGGAACAGAAAGAGGTGGGTAACGGGTGGAAGGGGTGCAGGTACATGAAATAGAGGTGGTACAGTGTATTGTGGTAGGCTAGCTAAATATAGGGACTCGTAGAATTAAGAAGAAGCAACAGGAGCAACTAATCATGAGTTGAAGCAGGAGAAGGCGCTGCGGTCGAATTCGGAATAGTACAAGTCAGACATCGTGCTCACCCCGACTGACGCCTATGTTCCAACCCAACGGGCAACTATAGCCACACATTGTACCCAGGTTTGTTGCTCACTCAATTCTGCTTTGACGCTATTTATGCTATTGCTCCATCTTTTTAGTGGTTGGACCACTACTACTCGGACTCGCAGAGACACTCAGTAAAGGCAAACAACTTGATTTTGTACTGTTGAAAGCATGCCCATACGCTGTTTGTGCTCCACTCGTTCATGGAGGCCGCTGGCTGAAGTGAAATATCTTAGGCACAGGTGGCAGTGCAAGAAGCGCTATAGGTTTCGCACTCCTGTACTTCGAGTATACACTCGACAAAGCGAGTCGTGGGTCATAGTAAACGGTTAGGGATATAGTCACATGAATAGTGCACTAAAGAATGTAAAGGCAATCCTAGTAAGTTTTGTGGAAGAAGCCCATCGTGTCGCTTGGCGATATCTACGCTAGAAATCCCTCAAACGCACACGTTTGTGGGAAATATACAATAGTGAAATGGTAATCATCCATCAATTTAATTCATACAACTCGAGATCCGATTTCCCATTGTAGTCCTGCGAAACGCGAGGGTAGAGCGTACGCGGCTACCGCTAAGGCATAAAGTCCCACACGATTCGTTCCGGTTCAGCTCCAGACATAACAGAATTGGAGAGAGTGAACGGGAGGAATTATGCCCGAATCCCTACGGATGCGCACCCGCTTTTGGCATATCCTTGATAGCCTTGGCATGTGCGGTATCAAACTGCAATGCCTTAAAGTACAGTTCACGATAATTTTGGAGTATACAATTTAAGGCGAATGAAAAAAGTGATGGTTCAGAATAGTGCAAAAGTGGCGAAGAAACGAAGTGTTCAAAGGACTNAGGGGTTGGACAAGAACGTGACGACAGTTGTATGGAAGGGGAATTAGGACAAGCTGTTCAAATGCATGCGCCCCTGCATAGAACTGGCTGGGATATGCGGACTTACGTGCGTCGTAGTCGTCAGAAACGTACAAATCCTAACGAAGTTCGCCGCGCAGTTTGCCGCGCGCGTCTTCGGACGCACGTAGTGCACGTCCCCAACTGGCAGCAGTAAGCTGCCTGCGTGCAAAGTGTGGGTCTCGGTGCGAATGGTGCGGAACTCGTCCACCTTGGATGTGCACATTCGCTAATTGCGAGCAGTTCTTGGGCTCATAACGCTCAGCGCCCCTTAGACTAACTTGGTAGTCACAGGTTCGCCCGAAAGAGAAATTTCTAAAACCACTTTAATCTGAACTGAGCCTTAAATCCCCATTGAAACTGCACCGCAGTTATTTGGTTTTGGACCTTCCAATCAGCCTTCGAACTTTCCCGAAACCCGACGTGTCAAACAAGTGTAACCCCCGGTCATTCACACTTACGCGTTGGCATATGTAGGACACTATACGCCATTAGAGGACGCGAAAATTGCCGAATTCGTTTGTCTACCGAAAATTCTCTTTTTGTATATATTCGCCCAGCACTGTTACAAGCTCAAGGGACTGCATTCCAAGTGGTAAATTTTATGTGAAAAGGGAAGGGCTGATTTCAATCCACTGTACTCCTAACTTTGTTTCATGCTATCCTTCTTAGAGTTCTGGGGGACCAGCGCACTGAGAACGAGGTTCGTTCTCACGGGTACAACGTGAGCGCTCGGCTCTCATGGTCAACTATGGGTGACGCATTTGACGAGGAGAAATGCGACATAACAACGCCAACTTTGAAAGGGTGGTAAACTGCCCGTCATTCTAGAGGATCGCCTGCTCATGACCTACCTTCACAATCCCATTTGCTGAGGATGTGATCGCGGCGCTGCGTCCTTGACGGTGGTCTGCGTGACCGTCGTAATATTTTGCATTTTGTAGTGTTGTTTTCCATTTCATCCTTACCGCCTCGCTTTGCGAGCAATTTCTATTAATTACAGTGCGATGTGTCAGAAATTGGACTTAAAAATTTTCAGGATGTTGGTCTTAATCCTTTTTGTGGTAATACTATTCTTACTTCTCTGGAAATGGCTCGACATCCGGTCAATAAATGAGATCAATAACGTTACTCGTCTTCTGTCAGCCGGTAATAACCAACACGTCTTATCGAATCTTTTTCAGGTAGGCTGTATCTTTCATACAAAAGGTGTAGGACTTTCAGTATGCACAAAGGTTTTCGCAATATATAACCAAATTATGGCTCCCTCGACATGTTTATGGTACTTGTACTGTAACAACTTTTTAAGGTTGACGAGAGTTCCAAAAGACATGGTGGCGAGCTTGTCGCTTCCGTTCTCAAGGTTGGACTTTAAGACTTATTGATGTTGTGAGAAAAAAGGTTAATTCGTTCCTTTCGAATGATTATGTGCAACACATATATGTTTTCAAATTTGTATTATACTTAAATATCGTCACTCATCTTTGATAATCTGTGAACATCAAAAGCCATTTGGAAAGGTTTCGGATGAATTGTTGGTTTGGTTGCGTTACGCAGTGAACCAAATAGGGGTTGATGCAGAAGTTTTCACCGGTCTGAGGCAACGGGCATAGTATTCTTCCACAAGTAGAACTCATTCTCAAACTGTTGGGAAGTATAAAGGGCTACAATGGATTCTTCTCAAACGGAATAATATGAGTTTTACTTATGGAAGCGTACTATGGCCTGTTGCCTCGAAATGTTACTGATTCGGAGGGTGTAGATGTTGGTTATGCTGGAAAAATAGATTTTCATCTGGGTTTCCCATCTGAACTCTGACCCTCTCCTCAAGGCAAAGGCGTACGGTTTAGTTCAAAGTGAAAAAGCACTCTCTTGAGCGTTTGAACCACAGCGAATTACTCCCTCGAATCAACTTGAGATGAAAGGGCAGGGCAGGGCATAGGTTATGTTCAGAGAGTCAGATGAATACTTCATAAACTTTTATACGCTACTGTAATCGGTCTCTGCCTCATTTCTTTTCGCGTATGCATTATATAGAGCTCTGCTCTAAGGGTTCATAACTCGATTCCTTTCTGAAGTAGAGCGGACAAATGGAATAATAGGGAAATTTGGGGAAGTCACTCCATTGCCATTGATCTGTCATCGATCCATTTATCATTCAATATTTGTCTGTTGTGTAACTGATCGGGTATTCGTAATTTAGCTTCCTTTTAACTCGGAGCCTTCAGATGTTACTAGACGAAGTTTGAAAGTGAGGCTCTTAGAAATTCACTACAGCTGCAACAATTGGCAAAGCTTATTTGGTAATGAGCAATTTCATTTTATACTATAATTGGTGAGCTACTTAATTCTTTTTATTTTTATTTTTAACCGTGAGCAAGTGTGAGAACGACAGTTTGGTTTTATCACAAAAAAGCAGAGTCTGACCTAAAAAGCGGGCAATCCTTATCTAATCAATCAACATGCAAAACGCTTCCGGCATAGATTCAAGGAATCTTTACTTTCTTTATTTTTAGTCCCACGATGTTAAAGAGATCTTCGTTTTGTGTGGTGGTCATATATCGCCGATTCTTGTAGCTGCTGAGAAACTTGGTATCAAAATCATTGATACGCGTCATGAGGTAAGTACAAGGAATTTCCATCATTATATCTTGAGGTGACAACAATTTGGCATAATTCTTTTGTTTGATAACTAACATAGAAAGCATTGTTATTATTTATCGATATGCAACTACACTTAAGAAAAAGCCATTAATAAGGGTTGTGGGCGGAGTTGGTGTAGTGGCAAGTGGCGCGCAACACACGCATGGTCTCGGGTTCGAATCACGAATCAGTATCCGGCTAAGTCAACCAAGCCTTCCATCCCTCTGGGGTCGGGCAATTGGTACCACGTTCGCCTGGGAGGATAAAAGTACTTTTACATCGACTGGCCACCGCAAGTCATTGTAAAGGCGCACATGCATTCAATCCGCCAGTACGATTCTGAATGGGAGCCGAATGCGTAAAGTTCTTCTGATTTCAAAGGAAGCCATGAATGTTTTAAGCCCTCCCCTATTCTGCGAGAACAATCTGACGCGCATAGTGTTATGATTCGAGGCTCTTGAATATAGTTTTGCAGGGTTCAGATTCTGAACGTTCTAAAGCTTGCTGCGGCGTTGTTCAATTTCAATTGGTTTTATATAATATTACCTGAACGGATGTTTCTATGCATTTGGATACTCCCTTCCCAAATTTTCATAATTTATTAAGGTCACAGCCGTTTTCGCAGCTGATGCCGTTGCACGTCTACGTCAATCCATAGGCGTTGCTGCCGTGACTGCCGGTCCCGGTCTAACTAATACTATCACTGCTGTGAAGAATGCGCAGATGGCGGAAAGCCCTTTGCTACTTATTGGTGGTGCTGCTCCAACATTACTCAAAGGTCGTGGTGCGTTACAGGTACGGGAACTGGTTGGCTCACTAATCATCAGCAGAAATGGTCTTTTCAGGACATTGATCAACTCGTTCTATTCCGTCCACTCTGCAAGTTTGCTGCCCGTGTTGTACGTCTTCGTGACATTGTGCCAACACTTCGAGAAGCTATAAAGGTGTTCTTGTAATAGCTTGATCCCAGGTAATTCATAACAAATATGAGGTTTCTAGGCAGCCACTTCTGGATGCCCTGGACCTGTTTTTGTTGAGTTTCCGGTAGACGTACTCTATCCTTACCAACTTGTCGTCAAGGAAATCGGCTTCAATCCTAAAGCAAATGAATTTGTACAGGTAATTTTTATGTTGTTGTAGTTTGTTCTGAACCTTAAAGTGAAATATTGATAATTAATGATTGGATTATAAAAGATTTTCTTGACTGATGTAAATTTTTACTGTTTCCAAAACCACCAAACTTTTTGTTCGAAATTTTTAGCAAATGCATTGACAGGCATTTTTACCTTATTTTGCTAACATTTCTCAAAAATATCTAATGCATTCTGTCATTGTTAGCACTTAAAGAGTACTTGATAGGGTAATTTAAGAAAGCTCTGAATTTCTACCTGAGATGTCACGTGTCTCGGCAGTTCAGTGCTGCTTGGCAGCCACAGGACATCACTCCTTTACCAACACAAATTCCTACGGCTACATCCGAAGAGGTAAGGATTGTAGAAGGTTAAGATGCCATTTTTAGAGTCATAGCCACAGAAGCTTCAGGATTTACTAAGTGATTTCAGGTGGAAAAGATCGTGCAGCTTATAAGCTCGGCGAAGAAACCACTATTGTTGATAGGAAGTCAGGCTATGCTTCCACCGGTATCTCCTAAGGAGTTAGTGAAAGCTGTTGAGGTACTAAGTTTGTCGACAGAAGCTGACGTGCTTGCTTATTTTGTTTGCGATTGGCCACTTCTAGATGCTGGGCATTCCTGTATATCTTGGAGGGATGGCGCGTGGTCTTTTGGGTAAGGAAAATCGTCTTCAAATGCGTCAAAACCGAAAGGATGCTTTAAAGGACGCTGATCTTACTATTCTGGCAGGTCAGCTTGCAACACTTCAAATCTTTTATTTATCGCATAACCGCATACAATCGTTCTTGAAATGCTTGTTATAGGAACTGTGTGCGACTTTCGTCTATCATATGGACGTGTGCTGTCGAAAAAATCCAAGATTGTATGCATCAATAGGAATCGAAGCCAGCTGACCAAGGTACCTTTTAATCAATATGATATCTTGCTGTTTGCTGTATGAGATATCTCTCCCATACTCAGTATATAGTATTGGTGGAGTGTACGTATTTTTCATTTTTGGTACAAGGATATTTTTTCGGGCAGAGGTGGTGTAGTGGCATGTGGCGCACTTCACACACGCATGGTCACAGGTTCGATCGATATCTGCCTGGGCCAACCAAACCTTCCATTCCTCCGGGGTCGGTTGCTGGTACCAGACTCGTCTGGGAGGATAAGAAAGCACTGACTTGTACGTCGGCTGGCCACCGAAGTCCTTGTATAGGTCACATACGCATTCATTACGCCACTACGATTCTGAATGGAAATAGAATGCGTAAGCGCATTCCTCTAACGGAATTGATTAATGCCAGTAGACTTTATTCTTTATCCTTTATTTATTTATTCATTGTGGAACGAGAGTGTCAATCCCTATGGATTTCAAAGCGAATTTGGAATAAAAATCTTTGTATTTGCATGAATTTCGTATAAGGTTGGTTGAGAAATCTTGATAGAGGGTGCATAGCTGACTTCGCTTGCATAGGCGTCTCTTTTCCTTTGAGCGGCCAGCCGGCACGATGTGAGTCAAACTGGTGGAAGGTTTTGCTCTCATCTCCAGCAACCAATTCTTCTAGAACTCCTCGCGATACTAGCGGAGATGGAGAGACTCACATATGGTTACGCGGGTGTGGAGAGGTATCCATTACGGCATTAGGGATCCACCGAGTCTGCGCTTTCGCTAGCCAAGTGCCTATAGGCGGTTAATGACTGTGCACGCGATGTTCGTCGCGAGAGTCAATTCCCAATCGAGTTTATCTTCGAAGGTCATGTCTCCTTTAGCGAAGCGAGCGAAACAGTGTGGGACGGTGATTACGATAGTAGTTTTCTCCCCAATGCCCTGTTGATGTTTCGGACTGCTGCTTCTGCTCCAGTACCTCGGTGCCAATCGTAGAAGATGATGGCTCGAAGAGAGATAGAATTGTGAAATTTGCATCGTGCTCAGGGGAAGCTTCTGAAATATTCACGAGTTCCACATAATGCATCAGTATTAACGCGAATGGATTTGTGAATACAAAGGTTCTCACATCAAGAGGAAAGTGTTAGCTGAAAAAAGTTGGGTAAGACAGTGAGCACATGTTGCATGGTGGCAATATAACTGTGGTAAAAGAAAAAATCGGGACCAATATTTAGATATCGGATGCTCTCTTCAGAATTATAACTACTATGTAAGAAAGTATAGATGCATCTCCGTAGTTTTTGTTAGGTTCTCTAAAACGAATTGAACCGCAACCCAGAAAAAAACGGGTGTTGTACAAATGTTATTGCAGAATGAGGGGACATTCTGGAACGCTGACGTCTCAGTACAAGCTGATGTCGGTTCTACCCTTGTTCAGATTGCCAATCGCATCGAAAAGGTGTGATTTTAGAGTAGCCATAGCTTGCAAAGATTGTGTAATAACTACACTGAACTGTTTTCTTTCAGGCTGCTCATAAGGTATCACCTGAATGGATAGAAGAGCTGAGAACTAGAGAAGATGACAAGGAGGCCAAAAATGCTGCGAAATCGACAGAAGAGTTGACACACGGATTCGTCAATCCACTGAATTTCCTCGTTCGACTAGATAAGGTATGTATCCTAGCCAATTTGCAGTGATTGATTCTTTGCTCAGTTCAAGAATTATTATATATCAAAAGAGCTATCAAGTTTGGGTAACTTAATTAGGAATTATATAGTATGGTGATTTGCTGTATGATTGGTGAGTGTGATTTTGCTGATTTTTTTCAAATGTTCCAGAAACTACCTGATGATGCCATCTTGGTGGCAGATGGAGGTGACTTCGTTGGATCAGCGGCATACATTGTTCGACCACGTGGACCGTTGCAGTGGCTTGATCCTGGAGCGTTTGGTACACTTGGTGTGGGTGGTGGATTCGCGCTGGGAGCTAAGGTTGGTTGTTTTCTATTGAGTGTTTGGTTGCACAGTTCTAAAATTCCAATCTATTTTTGCTTTTAGGTAGTGCATCCTGATCGTCCAGTGTACATCTTGTGGGGAGATGGATCATCTGGATATTCTATTATGGAGTATGATACGTTTGCTCGCCATAAGCTTCCCGTAATTGGTGTTATTGGTAACGATGCGTGCTGGACTCAGATTGCTCGCGAGCAAATTCCTATGTTCGACAGCAGTGTGGCTGTTGATCTAGCGGTGAGGCTTGTCACTTGTCAACTCTTGTGGTGGGCAGTTGTAAGCTGACAATCTTGCTGAGTTCGTGAGGAAAAGTGTGGACTTATTCAGCTGTTGGCTGATTGTTGACACAAGGACAGGCGGTCTTATTTAGATCAGTCACATTTTAGGTGCTTTGTTCTGTGAAT